GCAAACTACCAAAACTCATTCCTGGTGGGGAGAGGAGTAGCTTCCCAATTGCTAAGCTTCACGTTTGGGCCAACGAGCTGCACATTTGCTTTACTAGAGCCTTCACCAACTTCTACCATATTGACCTCTTCGAACAGACTTTGGAACCATAATCAGCTCTTCATCAACATCGACCACAGGTTTTGGGATTGAGGAGGTTGGAGGTTTTTCGGTCCCTGGCTTGACAAAAGACTTAAAGATGTGTGGGACAGGCTTGGGGAGCAACCATACCTTCTGTTTCAGATTTTTAACCCTTTTCACGTCCTTCTCTGTGGGCATGAATCCCAAACCAAATGTACCAGGACTCCCACTGGGGTGCACTGGATGCACAATACCCTGTAGAGATGAGCCCAAACCCTTGCCTGGCACAAAACCATTCTTCAACATTTCATTCGCAACCATGACAGATACGGAGGATAGCTTATGACCTGGAATGCATTTTCCTTCAGGAATTTTCTCAACAGACACTATTTCAAAAGTCTGATAGACTCAAGGTCCCTTATCATCTTCAGCTTCGATGAACGGAACAATTGTGTCATTACAAGCTGACAAGTCCTCATCATCGTGCACAACTATTTCCTGCCTGTCCCATTCGAACTTCACCATTTGGTGCAGAGAAGACGGAACTGCCTTAGCAGCATGCTGCCCAACAACAGATTGTAGGAGACGGCCACATTGTAAAGAAACATCGATGCTGGGAATAAAGGCCCTGGCGTATGCCCCCGCATCCTAAAGGCTAACCCTAAACAAATACTGGCCATGCTGCTTCACGTTTGCTGCCAATCCCGCTAACTGAGACTTTATCAACTCAAGCTTATCCCAGGGATCTTGGTCTGATGCCTCCTCAAAATCATCTGTCTGAACTGCCCGACCCCTAAGTTGTGCTGGTAATGGGGTGCTGACCCCTGGTGGGACGGACTGTAACCAAATCAAGTACTCTTGAGTACACTCGGGCCTGCCAACGTCCTCTACTAATGTATTTTTCTTCATCCTCTTTGCATTGTTCCAGTATTGCACATACTTGATTTCATCAGCCGCCTTTTTGCTAAAATTTATGATGTGCCTCCGAAGATTCAAAGTTGGAGGCACCTCTTGTCTTCTGCCCAATTGTCGCATTACCCTAACGGGAGTGTATGACCTGACACACTTGAGTCCTACTAGCATCAGGAAAGGCTGCATGAGGCACCCTACCAAGATATCATCCAAAGGTAGCCAAAGGTAAACCCACAAAATATTCCCATTTGTCCTCAAACCAAGGAACTCAATCCAAGTTGTGATGCCTACTGGGTACGTAAACTTAAGAGATTTCATCCTACGTTCGATGCATACCACCCGATCCCTCAAGGCACGGTCGATGGGACAAAGTAAGGATGCAGTGTGCAAATGCTCCATCATCCATAGTTGTAGAAAAAGGTTACTTCCCTCAAAATAACTGACACCTCCCTTAACCTCACTCAGGGCTCGGTACAACTCTGCTAAGATCATCGGCAAAACGGTAACGGTTTTGCGTTACTTTTCATGAAATAGTGCTATTACCACTAACTGCAGACGGGTGCTAATGTGCCTCTCATCTAATGGAAAAACCAATAATCCCAACAAAGCAAGGTTGAAAGCTTCTAGGCGACGTCTTTGCCACTTTGCCTTGGTTGTGCATAACTTATCCCAAAAGACGTCAAAACTATCCTGTTGTCCAAATCTAGCAAAAAAATAATCCAAGGATATTCAGGACTGCTCGAGACATTTTAAATGCTTATTATCTTTCAGGCCCAGGCCGCTGACGAATCTTGTCCTAGAGTAGTCTCGGGGAAGTATCATGTCCTTGCCTATATAGCTTAAACAAGTGAGACCAGACATTTCCGCCAAGGTAGGAGTCATCTCACACTCTCCAAATCTGAAAATCAAATTTTGCGAATCCCAATAAGTCAGCATCGCCTCCACTAAGTCTGGGCGGGGTGTGATATCAAGAAGGGAAGTTAGGGTGCCCAATTTCTGCATTAACTCATGCTGCTCTAACGATGAAAACATTTTCCACCACTTGATCAACTTCCTAGGAATCTTTACTACCATCAGCACTTTGGATCGAATCAGCGGGTCCATACCTGAATGAAGCAAACATGGTTAGCAACTCGGGACACTACGTGACCCCACCACATTTCCTAGTGGACAAATGCAGCACACAACATGGCTATATTTGCAAAATGACCTAAGTGGCTGAAAGTGGCTATTAGCGCAAACTCGACAAAGTTGACCCCTAATGCATGAGAAATACTCCATTTAAAGCTTACATGACTCTAATATCCCGACAATCATGGTCTTAAAAATTACTTTGCGGAAATGGACCCTTTTTTGCAAAAATGGCCGATGTGGCCAAATGTGGCTAGGGACGCAAACACGACATGGATGGACCTTAAAGTGATATGACACCGAGTTATAAACTCAAGATCCTAAGACATGGGTAATTGAGTCACTCTTGCGAAGATAACCCTATTTTGTAAGAATGGTCGATGTGGCCAAAAGTGGCTAGACATGCAAATTTGACAGGAATGAACCTTAGAACTAAGAGGACACTTTATTGTAGACTCAAGATCCTAAGACAAGAGATAACAAACTACTTTGAGAAAACATCTCTATTTTTGCAAAAACGCCCAATGTGGCCAAACATGGCTATACATGCAAGATTTGGCTACGACCCCGGAAGCCAAGAACCTAGGACCTACTAGGAAGACCGGACCCTATGTTGGTTGCCTATGTATCCCGCCCCAGAAGACGAGAATCAGGTTCGCGTAGTTCGGGAGATTAAACATGGGAGGAAGCCTTTAAAAAAATGCGACTTTGGAAAAACCATTTTTTTGTATTTTTGATGAAAATTGAAAAATATTTTTTTTTCTTTTTCTCCTTTTTTTGAATTTTTGGAAAAATGATGGAAAATGTAAAATCTTTTTGGATTTTTTTTTTTTTGAATTTTTGGAAAACTATGAAAAAAATGTGAGTGGGCCCTACTTTCTTCATTTTCACCCTTCTTTCCCAAGCATCGGTCCGCCAAATGACCCTTTTACCCTCACAGATGCAACATTTAGCACATAGGATGATTAAATGTCATTTTGGGTCACGAGCCCATTTTGACAAAATTTGGACAGGCTTCCTACAAAGGGACACGGTACCTGGGACCGAGCCCTACTAGGTCTAAATGACATGATGCAAATAAAAATGACCTAAAGGCTGACCTAAGTTTGGGGTTCACTAACAAGGCAATTCGGGGGAGCGTATGGTCGATGGTGGCTGCTCAAGCTTTCCACCCACTCCATACGTTCGACGGCCCCCCCTCCTAAAATAAGGGTGACTCAACGAAGAGTTCGTGTACGCGACACGTACTCCGAGACTTGTTGCAAAAAGAATTGACCGGGTAATGCATATGATGACAGTTATAAAGCAGTAAACACATAAAGCAAAAACTGTAAACACATAAACAACTAGCAAATAACAAAATATAAAAACATAATAAAAATTAAGTAAAGCTAATGAAAAAACATAAAAACCTCAACCAAAAATTCTAAAAGTCAACAAAATCAAGTACTAGCTCGAACCCGCAAGTCCCAAGCAGATTCGCATGAGATGTCACACCCCCTTTTTTTTAACAAATTTCACTGAACCATCTTAAAAATATAAGAAAAAGATTTGTAAAGCTTGAAAGAGTTTTTAATTGAAAAGTGACAAAATTGTGTTCAAAAGGAAATAATTCAGAGTCGCCACCTGACGTTTAATTTCGCTGTGTCAGGTCACCGTTTTTCTAAAATAATAATTTTTTTTCATTTCAAAATACTTGAGACTCCAAAACTAAGTCTGCGCTAGAGATTCGGGTAAGGGGGTTCATTTGACTTGGGGAGAAGGTGTTAGGCATTTCCCGAGTTCCGTAACTAGTACGGTTGCATACTTGATCTTGTCGGCTTTTAGAATGTTCGAATTGAGGTAAAAACACAAAAAGGAAAACAAACATCCCAAAGGTTCGAGGTCGTCCCTTCCTAATAAAAGAAAAATAAAAGAAAATGAAATAAGTTCTCCTAGCCTATACAATGCCTCCATTGATGATACCACGACCTCTATTTACAAATACTATAGGGCATACCCTGGAAAATATGTACAAATTGCACGGGGCATTCCCCGAACAATGAACTAAAGGAACGACCTCTTGCCTCAACAGTAACAAAAATCCTAAAGCTTGTCTACCCAAGTGTGATCGGCCTAAGCGTGCTCCTAACGAATCTATTAAAATAAAAGATGACTAAATAAAAGAAAGATCTAATTCATGCTCATATTTTTTAACTCTTTATTGTTATTAGGCCGAGCCCGATACCTAAAGCATGAAAATAAATCAATTGCTAATGGGCCAAGCCTTTTCTCAACTCCCCCAATACCCATTCTGTACAAAGAGGCATCAAACAATGACAACAAACATGAGTCATAAGATGTGAAATCAACATCTAGGACAAAGGAAGCGACCAAGATCATCCACGGCATCCAAATTTCGAAGGAAAACCACGAAAGAAGGAAAATTCGAACTAAACTTCAAAATCTCACATGATTAGGTATTGTCAACAAGAGCTTTGACATGAATGCACATACTGTAGCATAAACGAATGGACGTGAATCGTTGGTTCAATTGACAACTACAGTTCGATTTTGAATACTAATCAAATAGGTCACTTAAATTCTTTTAAACATGTATAATTTAGCACTAAAAGAAATTAAGAAGAACTAAGGATAAATCGCCAAGGAAACAGCAGAATTAAAGCAGAACAATGTCTCATCAATCAAAAGAGAACAACAAAGAACTTTGAGTATGTCGATCGTAAACGACCCTTTAGAAACAGACTCAACACTTCTGGTTACAAATACTCGTAAATATATCTAAAATAGCTGAAAATCCTTCAAAACAAACAGAAAACTTGCAATTCGATAGCTGAAACAAATTCAAAGAAGAAGGCGAAGACGAATTAAACGCTAACTCACAAAAATACTACACCGACATATCAGACGACGAGAACACAAAACACCATAAAAGAAGCAGCATGAGGTAACCTTAACAGCACATCCAACAGATTCTTAGTTCCAATAACTCAGCGATCCAATCTAATCCAACTCATTTAACACCAAAACACAAAATAATGGACAAAGATGATTGAATTCCTAACATTTCAAAGAAACACAGCTAGAAATCGAGTAAATTAGATCATTCTTATATCCCTAAATTACCATCAGATTCAACGCTAGACCAAACACAAGCAGAGACAAATACTCTAAACAATCAATAAGAGTTCTCATGATGACCTGCAGCAAGAAACTCAAGAGGGAACGACAATACTAACAACACAAATTAAATCGAGATGAACCAACAAACTTCACCCATCACTAATATTTGATTCATGCTCTTAGATGTAAGAAGAAAAGAGAATGGATGAACCTGTTTAGTCGAAATCCTTTTTAATAACAGTAGAGGAATCAGCAGATACAACGTATTGCTCCAAAATATCGACTGAGAACAGCAACGCAATCGAGCAGAAACCGCGAGCCAAACCACGAACCTCGAACAGAAACTCGAATCGGCCGCACAATTTTGAATCCGAACAAGAACTCAAACTCAAACTTCACTCCATTTGTATGTTATAACAGAGATTTAAATCGGAAGCATCAACAGAAATATTTTTTTATATATATCTATGAAAACGAAAAAAAAATCAAAGGAGAAGAATCTGAAAGTCAAAATTGGAACCCTCGAGCCCTTTTTTTTTGATTTTCTGATATTTTCTCAATCTTTCTGATTTTTCCTCCTTCG